AAAGAAATTCTAGCATAATACTTGCCTCCACAGAACAAGCATTATCTAATATATCCTGGATATTATTTCTTATTTTAAAATTTGCCTTCATGAGTAGCAAACTGCCATTTTTCATATTTGAACACTTTATAACAAATTGTTCATGCAAAAGCTGCTAGAATCATTGTTTTGATATTTATCTGCTAAAGTTACAAGAAGTCATGTGAAAACTAGGAAACACTCTGAGGGAAAAATTATTCTATTATACTATATTAACCTCACAGTGCTCTTACTATTATAACTCAAGACATCTTTGAAAATCTGATGGAAAAAAGAGAAACTTGTCTGGAATAATGCCCATGCCCACAGCTGCACAAAATCTAGCATATAATTACAGAGCATACTGAATTCTCCAAAGCCTCCTAAATAAAGAACAACTAACTTTTAATTGCATAAAAATAGAAATGTATATATTTAAATAACTGCAGAAGGATGTCAGACAGAATAGTTCAATCTTGTTTGTTAAAGTTACTCTTGAAATGCACAGTACACTGCTGTCAGGAATATACTGCATTTGTCACAATTCATAGTCTGTACAGTTCTAATTACTCACAATTATAGGTAGCCTACCAAATTCATGATCAACAATTTCAAGCATCTATCTATAAGTGCTTTCATAATCACTTTCTCATTAGAAGGCACAAATATCAAGTCAATTGAATACAATACTTGGCAGGAGGTTAAGCTTGTTTGATTTAAAACCAACTAATGATATAAAAAAATCAATAAAGCATTTCTTGTTATTTTCAATAACTCTTCTTTTCTCCATTATACATAAAAACAGGCCAAGTACTATTGATCATTAACCATATTGTCATTGATGTATTTTCAACTACTAAGATGGTCCATGCTATTTCGATTTCACTCGTTTCTTGGGATATTGAAATGAAAAAAGTAACAACTATCTCTCTAGGTTATTTAGAGAGTTATAACTGGTAAAAATTCAAACTCCTCTCTCCTGCTACAACGGCTCTGTAGTAGTGTAAGTATTTATTAGATTTTTTGTTGTACCCTGTTGATCTAAGAAAATTTACATAAGTCATCATATTTAAAGGAATTAATATACTCAAGATAAAACTTTTAAAGAGTGTAATATAAACTATTTTCATTAATCAAATTTAAATCACTTATTTTTATGAAACATTATTAAGCCCTCTCTTTCACTATTTCAAGATACCATAAAGAAATAGTAATTAAAATGCTAAGCCATTACCTGGACTGTGGCCTTAGGAAGCCATGCAAAGGAAATAAATATCTTTTCTTTTATGTTAAAACCAGCAAAACACACCATCAGAAATGTAGTCAAAATTCGTATCAATACTGCAATGGCCAAGGTGGCAACACAAAGACCTGTAAAAAAAACAAATCTCAATTTTTATAAATAATGAAACACTGGGGCAGAAATTGTGTTTCCTGGTTATTGATTCAAAATACAGTCATGCATCCCTTAACATCCATAAATATGTTCTGTGAAATTGGACATTATGTGATTTGGATGTTGCCTGAACACCGTATCATATAAAGGCAGTCCTCACATTATGAACGAGTTGCTTTCCTAAGTCTGTCTTTAAACTATATTTGTATGTAAATTGGAACAGTTAGGTATGATTTGTGTCTAACGTCAGTTAGTCAAGTATTTGTCTTAGTATAAAGTATACAGTGTACCTTTCTATGCATGAAAAACAGCAAAGGAACACTTCCAGATTCACTAAAACATTTTAACATAACAATAGAGTAGTAGTAATAACTAGGCTTTGATGCACGTCATAAAGTTGTGCCTGTTTGTTATTATGAACCATGGTATGTACCTAAGATATTTAATAAAATACACTTTATGGGGTGGTTGTTGTTGTTTTGTGCCGTTGAGTCGGGCCTGACTCATAGCGACCCCTCCTTGGGTTTCCGAGGCAGTATCACTACAGAAGTAGAATGCTCCATCTTCCTTCCAAGGAGTGGCTGGTGGGTTTGAACCACCAGCCTGCTGGTTAACAGTCAAGTGTCTTAGCCACTATGCTACCAGAGCTCCTTTATGGGGGTTAGGACCACAGATATATATGTAATCAGACATTGTTGAATGGATGTTATGGGGCACATGACTGTACTATCACTGAAATAATTAAAGAACATTAAAAAATTAAAAATACAAAATTGGTTAGTCATCCTATATCAAGAAATCAACATTAAGACCATTTGTTTAAAATAAAAGGGTTTCCCTAGATTAAAACTAGAAATCAATTAAATATATTTGAATTTCTACAAAGGAGATTTGAATGTTAAATCTCTTATGCTTGATAGCAAGAACCACACTTTCTTCCATGTGTTTATTTAACAAAAATTTATTAAGTGATAACTATGCATGACAGGCTTTGATCTAGGCACTGGGAACACAAAAATGTCTAATGTACAGACGGCCTTTATAAGCATCAAAGTCAGAGGAAGACAAAAATGCGAACAATGAATTCACATGCTATATAGTAAGCACAGTATAAACAAACCAATAAGAAGGTGTAGAAGTGGGAAAAATGAACATTTTCATCAAGGAGGTCTAAAATTCTTTATTGTTGTTGTTGTTGTTGTTGTGTGCCATAGAGTCAAACCCGACTCATAGCGACCCCTCCTTGGGTTTCCGAGGCAGTATCACTATGGAAGTAGGATTGCCCAACCTTCCTTCCGAGGAGTGGCTGGTGGGTTTGAACCACCAGCTGTCTGGTTAGCAGGCAAGTGTCTTAGCCACTATGCTACCAGAGCTCCTAAAATTCTTTATAGACTATGTAATAGCAGAGACCAGAAATGATATTAAAAATACTTACAGCCAATCAGAATGGATCTGCTGTGTAATGACCGATGAGAATAGACACTGACAGTACATAATTGTTTCACCATTTTGGTGTATACTCACAGCATGTTAGCGCTGGATGACATACAGTTGTTGTTTGGTGCTGTTAAGTTGGTTCTGACTCATAGTGACCTTATGTATAATAGAACGAAATACTGCCTGGTCCTGCCCCATCCTCACAATGTTTAAGACCATTGTTACAGCTACTGTGTCAGTCTATCTCTCGAGAGTCTTCCTCTCTTTCCACCAGCCTTCTACTGGTGTCATCTGCAAGTCTGCATAACCTCTGGCACTACTGGCTATATTTCTTGTAAGACAAATTTGTTCGTTCTTCTGGCAGTCCATGGTATATTCAATATTCTTCACCAACACCATAATCCAAAGGCATCAATTCTTCTTCGGTCTTCTTTATTCGCTGTGCAGATTTCGCATGCATATAAGGCATTTGAGGATACCATAGCTTGGGTCAAGCACACCTTACTCCTTGAAGTGACATCTTTGCTTTTGAACACTTTTAAAGAGGTCTTTTGCAGCAGATTTGGTCAATGCAATACGTCTTTTGATTTCTTGATTCTGATTCCATGAATGTTGATTGTGGAGCCAGGTAAAAAGAAATCCTTGACCAATTATTTATATGCTTACCATGGCATTGCTTACTGGCACAGTTGGGAGGGCTTTTGTTTTCTTGTTGAGATGTAATCCATACTGAAGGCTGTAATCTTTGATCTTCATCAGTAAGTGCTTCAAGCCCTCTTCGCTTTCAGCAAACAAGGTTGTGTCATCTACATATTGCAGGGTGTTAACGAGTATGCCTTCAATCCTGATGCCATGTTCTTTTTCATATAGTCCAGCTCTCAGATTATTTGTTCAGCATACAGACTGAAATAAGTATGAAAGGATACAATCCCGACACACACCTTTCCTGATTTTAAACCATTCAATATCCCCTTGTTCTACTGGAACAAGTGCCTCTTGGTCCATGTACAGGTTCCATATGGGCACAGTAAGTATCCTGCAATTCTTATTATGTAATGTTGTAATGTTATCCATAATTTGTTATGATCCACACAACTGACTATGCCTTTGCATAGTCAATGAAAACAGGTACACTGGTAAAATGTCTTTCTGGTACTCTCTACTTTCAACCAAGATCCATCTGACATCAGCAATGATATCCCTTGCTCCAGTTCCTCTTCTGAATCCAGCTTGAATTTTTGGCAGTGCTCAGTTGATGTACTGCTGCAAATGTTTTTGAATTATCTTCAGCAAAATTTTACTTGCTTGTGATATTAATGCCATTGTTAAATAACTTCTGAATTCTCTTGGGTCACTTTTCCTTGGAGTGGACACAAATACGGATCTCTTCCAGTCAGTGGGCCAGGTAGCTGCCTCCTAAATTTCTTGGCATAGAAGGAGGAGTGCTTCTAGTCTTCCACCCCCATATTGAAACTCTTGTCATGGATTGAATTTGTGTCCTTCCAAAAGTTGTGTCAACGTGGCTGGGCCATGAATCTCAGTGGTTTAGAAGTTGTATTATGATGTAATGTGGCAAATATGTAATGATATCCCATGATGTGATAAGATAATCAGGTGTAAAAGGATTAGGATTAAGGGTGGTTGCAACACTCTTAGTACCATCATAGCCCTGATCTGATGGAAGGGGAGCTTTCCTGGGGTGTGCCTGCAACACCTTTTATAAAAGGAGAGTGAAGGGAGCAGAGAAGTGGGGACATGCTACCACTAAGACACAGGAGTGTTCATTGGATCCAGGGTCCCTTTGCTGGCATCCTCCCAGGAACAAAAGACACACAGAAAAAAGTCTTTCCCTAAAGCTGGCACTCTGAACTCAGACTTCTAGTCTACTAAACTGTAGGAGAATCAATTTCTGTTTGTTAAAGGCATCCACTTGTGGTATTTCTGTTATAGCAGCACTAGAGAACTAAGACACATCTCAATTGATATTCCATCAATTCCTGGAGCCTTGTTTTCCACCAATTACTTCAGTGCAGCTTTGACATCTTCCTTCAGTACCTTCAGTTCTTGATCATATGCCACCTCCTGAAATGACTAAACATCCATCAATTCCTTTTGGTACAGTGACTCTGTGTATGCCTTCTATCTTCTTTTGATGTTTCCTGCATCATTTAGTATTTTGCCCGTAGAACTCAACATTGCAACTTGAGACCTGAATTTTTCTTCAGTTCTTTCAACTTGAGAAATGCCAAGTGTGTTCTTCCTTTTTGGCTTTTGAATTCTAGGTCTTTGCATATTTCATAATAATACTTTACTACGACTTCTTGATCCACCCTTAGAAATCTTCTGTTCAGCTATTTAACTTCATCATTTCTTCCTTTTGTTTCATCTATTCTCCATTCAAGAGCAAGTTTCAGAGTTTCTTCTGACATCGTTTTTGGTATTTTCTTGCTAGCCTATCTTTTTAATGATATTTTTCTTTCTTCATATATGATGTCCTTGATGTCATCCCACAGCTGGTCTGGCCTTTGGTCATTAATGTTCAATGCATCAAAACTATTCTTGAGATGGTTCCTAAATTCAGGTGGGATGTACTCAAGGTTGTATTTTGGCTCTTGTAGACTTGCCTTAATTTTCTTTAGCTTCAACTTAACCTTGTATATGAACAACTGATGGTCTGTTCAGCAGATGGCCCCTGGACTTGTTCTGACTGATGATATTGAGATGTTCCATTGTCTCTTTCCGCAGATGTAGTGGCTTTGATTCCTGTGTATTTGATTCCTTGCCATCTGGTGAGGTCCACACATATAGTTGCTGTTTATGTTGTTGGAAAAGGTATTTGCAAGGAACAAGTCATTGGTCTTGTAAAATTCTATCATGTGATCTCTGGTGTCATTTTATCAGCAAGACCATATTTTCCAACTACTGATGCTGCTTTTTTGTTTCCAGCTTCTGCATTCTAATCACCAGTAATTATCAATGAATATTGATTGCATAAGGTTTTATGCAATAGGAAGACTGAAGAAGAGTCAATGTTTTTGAGTTGTGGTGTTGGCAAAGAATGCTGTATGTACCATGGACTGCTAAAAGACCTAACAAATCCGTCCTGGAAGAAGTGCAGCCAGAATGCTCCTTGGAAGCAAGAATGGCCAAATTTTGTCTCACCTACTTTGGTCATTTTGCAAGAAGGGACCATTCCCTGGAGAAGGATATCATGCTTGGCAAAGTGGAGGGACAATGAAAAAGGGAAAGGCTCTCAATGAGATGGATTGACACAGTGGCTGCAACGATGGATCATGGGGCTGGCACAGGACTGGGCAGTGTTTTGTTCTGCTGTACATGAAGTCACTATGAGTTGGAGATGACTTGATGGCACCTAACAACAACAGCAACAAATTGATTGCATGTTTGACAAATTTCAGACTGCAGAAGTTGAAAAAAGTCTTCATTTCCTTCATCTTTGGCTTCAATGGTTGGCATATAAATTTGAATAATAATTATAATAACTAGTCTTCCTTATAGGTATATGGATATTATCTTA